GACCTGACCTTGTCAAGCAGAGGCGCACGCGCCGGGAGCCGACATTCTGACAGTTGCGCCCTTGATGCCCTTGGCATTTACACTTCCCGCCAAGTGTGGCGCACAGAAACACAACGTCTCCACCGAGTTTGGACACTCGAGCGGGCATGCACCTTCACACTTCCTGGAGTTGCTGATGTTGCGCTGAGCAACAGTTTGTACAAATCTATTGTTTGATGTGTTTTTTGTGTGACAGCTAAAAGCCAAACGAGGCAATTCGACGTGCAAAACTGTGTCGTTAGAGTTATGATGCGCCACTGCGTTTGCGGAGCACGTTCGTTGCTTCTGTGTTCCGTTCGGGGAGGCGTAAGCTAGAAACCTTCTGAGCGCGCCCAAGCGTATGCGCGGAAGAAACTGTAGGAGCACCGGCCAGCATGCTCTGCCATGCAAGCAAACGTTGGGCAACACGGCGAACGTCATGGGAAAACATGCCCTTTCTGGCAACTAGATGAGCCACGTCGGATGTGCGGGCGCTGTTCTGCGAACGACATCTACCGGTTTCCTCCTGCAGTTTGCTCCTGCCGGTGAGAGTGTGCGGGTTTGTAATCTGCCCCAAGTCCAGTCATAGTAACAAGCGTGTCTTAAGAACATATTGTTCAGAGCCGCTTGGCCAAAGTGTCATCTGCTTGACGGCCCCCGCGCAAAAGTCCAAGAGCAATGTGTGGCCGCGGCGGGCTCAAGCGATTTAAAGTGGGCTCGCCAGCAAGCGCAATTCTCAGGGACGGTGTGGCCGAGTGGTCTAAGGCGGTGGCTCAAGGCGCCATTCCGTAAGGGCGTGGGTTCGAGCCCCACCGCCGTCAATTTACTGGTTCCAGCGGAGCTCTTCGACGGTGGAAGCTCTTCTGCCAGGCTGCAATGAATCTCCGCCGCCGGGAATTGAGCCCGGGTCTTCCGCGTGACAGGCGGAAATACTAACCACTATACTACAGCGGATCTGTTGTGGCTCAAGAATCATGGCCTCGGCTGAGCGCCAGTAGCAGTGCCCTTATCGTCTAGTGGTTAGGACGTCGCGTCGCGGCCACGACAACCCAGGTTCGACTCCTGGTGAGGACAGTGTTTGAGTTTTGTTTGGCCGTCTGCCCCCATGCCCTGCCGGTCAAGAGCGACCAGCAGCAGTTCCGCCAATAAAAGGCCAGCTGTGAAGCCAAGGCCTGAACTGTACCTTGAGCCAAAATGGCTACGGTGACATCCATCTCCAATCACAAGTCAGCCAGCCCAACCTGTCGGGCTTGGTGCGGCTGATGGCTGGCGCTGCGCGCCAACTTCCCATCTGGGGATACTCCCCTGTAACGCTTGCGAGCTCGGCGGTGAAGCAGGCATACTACCACTAAGTCCTAACAACTGCGTGGATGGCCTGTCCCCCTTGAGTGCGCAGGTTGCAAGGCTGCTGCAAAGTAATTTGCGGTAGGCTGGCAAGTGGTGACTGAGGGGCGGCTCAGGCTGGCGACAGAGCAGGCAAAACTCAGTCCTTCACCCAGGTCGATCTGCCTTTTCTGGGCCCGTGAAAAAGCAACAACGACTGGAAATGTTCCTTCACATCCACGCCGGGTCAAATGGTAGTCTTTCTACGTGCGTGGCTGTCTGCTTTTGTTTTGCCATCTTGCTTTTTAGGGTCCGTAGTTTAAAAAACAACAACAACAACGCCGTGGATGTGTTCTATTCCCCTCAAAAGTGCCCCGACGTTACCTGTCCCAGCGGTCAGCTCTCATCTTCGCGTCATGTTACGCACGCACTGCTCCCAGCCCCCAAACCGATGCCGCAATCGCTTGCCTTTTCCGTGGGTAAGCCACCAAAGTCACCAGCGATCATCAAGCCTGCAGGAACATGGTGGGCATGCCGTGGGAATGCGGGATGCATTACGGAACCTATCACAACCAGGAACCCTGGCTCTGGGGGGCAGCCGTGGGCGAAAATACACCCTTAGCTGTTTCGGGGCAGCCCCTCGATAGCCTTCGGCCAAGGGGCCATTTGCACAAAGACCGAAGCGGGAATTTCTGGGAACCCCAATCACCCTACTAATATTCTTGCTTTTCGGGACAAGCACTCAGCTTTTGTTTTCATCAGTCCCCTATCTCAGACCACCCGGACCACCCGGGAGACGATCTGGGCCCAGACCCCAAAGCTTTCAGCTGGCGGCGAACAATGACAAAACAAATAAGAATAACAAAATACTTTCCAACCGCAAAACTTCGTGGCCCCTCGCAGAGCAGCCAACCACAATAAGAACACGTTGTTACAGGTAAAATGACAATGACAGAAAGGGACTGTTCAGACCCAGGGCTTTGCCGCCCCTCATGCACTTGCACGTCACAGAACGAGAACTTGCAGCGGTGCTTTGCTGCGCAAGGGTTTACTCGTGACCAAAACGAACAGAAACTAGCACCGAAACGAGACGCAAACCAAGGACCGTAAACACAAGCCGGCTGAGTCAAAAATCAAACCGGTATCAAAATGGCCCACGAGAAACAGCGTAAAGACGTCAAATCGTGGCACCTACTTATGCTTATGGCTAGCACTGTCCTTGAAAACTTTCTTCTTGGATTTCATTGTGACTCGGAGCGAAACACATGGCTTTTTCCTGGCACCGGCCGGGCGCAGAGCGCCCTTGTGTTTTAGGGCGTGCGAGCCGCACGCCCCGCAGGTCAAGAAACAAGCATCTGGCGTCCACCAAAGGAAAATGGGCAAACGAAAAGGCCAGATGCTTGCGTGGCAAAAGCTGCCAGACGACAGTCTGAATGTGTGGAAGCCCAAGATTCATCCTTCCGCAAGTGATACCCGAACAGACGCTCTTAAGACTCTTCACGCGTGGCCCAACCCCACTGTTTACTCAACCATGCCAAGGGACCTTGATCGAAGGTGTTGCCCCTTTTCTCAGAAATTGGAACACTGGAAAACGAACAACCACGACACACACTTTGCACAATCAGTTTGGTAGAAGTTGTAACCCGAGAAAAACCAGAAGCTAGACCCTGCACGCCCAGCGCTTTACCACGCCCCCAGGCAGCGCTGCTCAGCAAGGGCTAGGTTGAGACGCACCGCGCAGCAAAGCTATGTTGCGATGAGCCTTGAAGCAGTTGAGATGCGCTGCGCTGCAAGGCTATGTGAAGATGCGCTGTGAAGCACGAGCTAGGTTGGGATGCGCTGTGAAGCAAGGCTATGCTGGGACGGTCTGTGCAGCAAAGCTATGTTGAAATGAGCTGCGATGCAAGGCTATGATGAGAATTGTTGCGAAGCACGGCGCTGTGCACTGTGCAGCAAGGCTACTCTGACATGTGCTCTGCGGCAAGGCTCTGCTGACACGGGGTGCAAAGAAGAGCTGTTTAGAGCAGAGCCGCAACATAGCAGGTACGTGCAAGGCGGTGCCTGACAGACTAGTGGGGAATCGAGCCCGAGGCCGCCCGATCCCAGGAGCAGGCATTCCACAGCCCAGCCCAGCCTCAGCGAGAGCGCTTCAACACGCGATCCTGCAGAGGACTCGTCAGAAAATTCGCACGTCGCCACACGCACGATCCCCCCACAGAGTTCGTCGGCCGCGTAGAAACGTCGCATGGCACGATGGCGATCCGACACGCAAGGGCTGGGCCAGAGCTTGGCTGTGCAAGGCTACGCTCTGCAAGGCTTCGCAGAGCTGGGCTGAAAATGCCAGGCTATGCAAGCAGAGCAACCCTTTTTGCAAAGAACCCTCTGCTAACCCTCTCGAGAAAAACAAGGTTGGTTCATGGCTTCTTTCTTAAACACAACAAGCCGAAGGATGGATTCTCCTGGGTTCTTAAGCGCTCGCTGGTCATAGAAAGGACGCAGTCGCGCAAGCCACAACTGTCGCGCAGTCTGCCAAGGATAGGCGGCGCCACCAAATGCCGCGGCCAGTTTGTGACCGGTCCCGTCGAAAAACCGCACAGCTCTCGCTTTCCTTCAAGAAGCATCCGAAAAGGGTCATGAATTCTTAGTCACCCATGGCCGTTGCGCTTGCGCTGGTACGGAATTTCAATGCTGGGCGCTTTGGCAAATCGTGTGGCCTTCGGCCTGTGTTAAAGAATAAAATGTTGCACGCGGGAGCTTTTTAAAAAGCTGCTGCTCCGGCCAGCGTTGACCACGCATCAACCGCCAGGCAAAACTCTGCGCGCCGACTAAAAAGAGCCACTGGCTGCTTTCCGCGCTGGACCTGGTGGTTTCTTCACCAGCGTGTTCCCCTTCCTGGGGATTTGTGGCGAAGCGCTATCCCCCAATTACAAGGTGAATTTGTGCTCGGACGAATCAGAGAAAAGTGCCACCCCATGTTGCCCAAAACAATAACCCAAGTTGCTACATGGCTTGTAGCTCTGCATTTCGGGATCCTGAAATGGTCAGCGTTCCTTCGGCTCAGTGAACCGGAGTCCGGGAAGAAGCTACCAAGGGGGTTCCTGGGATTGCTTCCTTGGCTTCCCCTTTCAACACCCAGGTCTCAAGGCTCCTTGCCAGGAACTCAAGTGCCCTGCCACCTTTAAGCCCTTGGCCTGCGCCGGAAGCTGGCAGCTGGCAAGACCCAAAGTCTTCGCGCAAACAGCTGCTGCCCCAAATTGACAAATGTGAGGTCAGGTTTCCAAAACTTCAACTCAAATCCTCGAACTCGCGAGTCCTCGCGGCCTCGCCCTTCAGGGCTGGGCTGGGGCTCAACTCAACGGCAACGTGGCAAGCGGGCGGTTGATCTCGGGGATGGATCCGCCGAGCGAAAAACGCCTGGCAGCCGCTCCTGTGATGCTCGGAAGTGGGTTGGAAAACCGGCTCGGTCACAGCCGACTGCCGGGGGCTCCCAATTGCCGGCATCTGCATCCATGTGGGCCACTGCCAGGTTTTGTCCCACCCGCTGCCGCCGCCTCCACGGCGATGTTTTGTTCTTGGTATGCTGCAGTTGGGGCCCTTGGTTCAAACAAAATCAAACCACGGATTCATTGCCCAACAGGTATATAAACTTTACTTCAAAGGGGTCTGCGCGTGTTTGAACCTGCCCCGCTCCGTTCTAGAGGGCTATTGTCTTTTCTGGGTTGATCCAAAGGCCACGTTAGGTGCGGCCTACGTCTCTTCCCAGCTGCTCTGCGCAACAAATGGTTCTTTGCCTCTGGGCCCCAATTGAAAAAACGGCAGCACAGCAGAATCAAAACAGGTGAACCGAGAAAAAAGTGAAGCTCTGCCAAAAGCACCAGGCCTGCGCAAAGCCGTGCATGCGCGAGTCTGACATCTATACACCAGTCAGGCCGCTGCGCTCTGCCGCTGCGCTCGCGCCTCTCACGCCAATCAGATGATCCTGGCTTTCTGGGGGATGTTCGTTTTAGTTGGAAAATTGCCGCCAAAATGTTTGCAGCATGGACTCCACGCTGGGCTTCCGTCTCGACGGGCTTGAGCTGCGACTTCTCTTCTCGAGATCTCTGCGCTTCTGTCGCACGGCTTGAGTTAAATCCACCGGCGCGCGCTCCACATCCTGGAGGAATGCAGCGAGCTTCATCTCGCCATACTCGTGCAGCAAGCGATTTGGCCGCAAAGCCATGTCCTCAGCAAGGGAAAGTCGTTGTTGGCTTCAGTTGTGGCAAAGCCGTACAAATTGAAGGGTCCAACCAGATTGAATACTAACCTTGGACGCAAAACAATATGTTCTGACTCTGTTCCATATTTAGTGTGCCCTAAAACTAGACATGTTTGTAATAGCGCAGCCTCCGATCACTTCCAAGCAAATACAAAAACGCGTTGGGCTTCCCAGCTTTGCTCTTGTACCCAAGGCAGGAACTTCAAGTGTAACCATAACCACAACTCCGTTGCGTCGCACTTGAAACCCGCAGCGCAATCTGCCAACCCGGCTGAAAGCCTCAAAGCACAACTTTGATTCCGTCGGCATAGTCTTTGCCCACCAAATGCGGAGAAGCAACACCTAAAAAGCCGCAACATCAACACAAAGCAACCCAAATCCAAAAACCGAATTCCCATGGTGAGGGTTTCTTTGACCGTAATGTGACCGTCGCCTCCAAAGGGCCACATGCGTTGACTTCAGCAGGGCCCTCTAAGTGCGGCAAGTGCCTACAGTGCTCCTATAAACTAGGAGACACATGGCCCAAAAGGCGTTCTAACATGTGCCTTTTGGCCAGCCCGACAGAACAAGCAGTGAAATGATCGCGGACAATGAGTGCCTGGTGGGCCTCTAACATAAAAGCACTGGAGATGAGCAGATGTCAGCATGCTCGGCTTCCGGCGCAACCGCGCAAAAAGCCGCATTTCCTGTAGGTGTGTTGTACATCGAGACGCGCGATCATTGCTAAGGGTCGACCAGGCATACAAGAGTAGCATGTGCATTAAACAACACATTGACCAGCAGAATCTACGAGGGGGTCGTAGTTTCGCAGGCGGTCGGTGCCGCGCCGCCCTGTAATGACAAACTGGTTGAAGTTGCATGTGCGAGTCTTGGGCAAGTCTTCGGGGCAAGTCTCAGGCTGTTGGCAGAACGCTATTCTCTTGGGCAAAAAGTTCACCCGTGAAATTCCCTTGTGAAACAAACAGCGCTACGACTCATCGGCGGCAATTCAACAGGAGGGCCTAGAATTGGGAAGCTGGGCTCTTAAGAAGTTTGACTTGTTTGCCCAACATTCGGAAATGCTGGCGAGTGTGGAAAACGCATGCATGCACATGCAGCACATTCGCATGAACATAATGTTGTCTGCGGCCAGTGCCATCCAAGGTATGCACAGGAGGTTGCAGGCCCGAATTTGCATGGGGCACCTGCCGATGTTGAAAGCTCTTGTAAAAACAAGGCATGTTCACCTGTTCTTTGCCTGGGCATCTTTCGGGAGGCATTTACACATATCACTGTTTAGTGAGCATATGAGTTCGGTGAGGTGTGTTGCTGCTCTATGATGGCGATGCAAAGGCAAGAGTTCCACCGCGCCCAATTCCGAGGAGCGGGATATTCTCTGCCGTCCGAGAAGTCGTGGTAGGAGCATCGCATGGGCCGCTCCTGAGCAAAGGGAACAAAAACTCAGTCCTGCCCAGTCCCGAGGCTCAGCTGGAGGGCACTGAACACAAAAAGCGAGGGAACTCGAAGAACACAAAAAGACATTGCCGCGGAAGTGACGGATTCGTCTATAGATGGCGCTGAAACGGCGTCCTTTCATGGCGGGTACACCAATCACATGTTCAAATGCTTCATATGCGCCAACCCAAAAACAGAACTGATTTTGGAGACCCCAGCTTTGAAGAAAAGGGGAAAAATATGAAAGCCGCGCAATTTGGAGGAATAGGTCAGAGTCGGCTGCGTTCAAGTGAGAAATGACATCCTTCTGGCAAAGATGGGGCCAGACACCAGCCTGGTCGTAATTCACCGAAAAGAAAGGGTCCGGCCAAATCTGGGTCTTACAGAAAAATATCCAGGTAAAGCTCTGCCGTCAAATCAAGGCATGCCGGGTTTTGTTTATTGGCCTCTGGCGGAGCTAGAGTGGGCCCCAACAAACCGAGCGTCCGAACAGGTTGCTCCACCTCAACTGGGGATGAAACGGTGTAAGCGCAGCTGCTGCGGAGGCGTACTTCCGTGCTATTTTAAAGTTGCGACTTTCTGCGAAATCAAGTTGGCGGCTTTCAAGCCGGAGCTGCGTGAATACAAGGTTGACTGCAGATGCACAAAGGGGCGGGGCCTAGGAAATGATATGTCATCTCTTCCTCTTTTGTAAGGCCTCCGGTTCCCTACGCTGCAGTTCATGGGGCCCAGAAAACTATGCACAAACAAACCGTGACAACCAGGGGTTGATCTAGCTCCCCAAAACATCCAACAGTCCCGAATCAAGGAAGGGCTGCGGCTGCGCTGGCCGCGTCAGCGAAAGTAGAGGGACACAAACAAACAATGCATCTGGCACCACGTATGATCATGTTTCAGTCAAATCCTGCATTGGGCTGCAATTGCATTCTGGTCGTTTGCGTATACGGTCGTATGAACCCCATATGTCGCAACACGGTGCTGAAAAAATGCCTTAAACCATGTACTAGCTCGTTCGGACATAGGCCATATGACACGTGCATATATGGTTCCCCCCCAAAAAAAAAAAAACATCAAAAATTACCGAATCCACGAGGGTCTGTATGAGACAGGGTTCAATCGGTTCAAACGGTTTAACCGGTCACGGCTTTGGGCCTTGGGAGCGGGTTTTCCTCCGAAAAAGCTTAAGACGGCTTTTACAACCGGTTTGGGGCCCTGAGCCCTTAGCGGGGACCTCCTTTCCGCTGAGAAAGGGCTCAATCCGTTGAAACGGTTTTGGATGGCCCTGTCCCTCTTCGTTGTTGCATCTTCTGACCAAAAACCTCAGCTTAGAAACAGGAGCTAGATCGCAACCGACTGAACCTGGAAAAGTTTGGAGCCTGAAGCTTGATTGTCTTTGGAAAAGCGCCCCTTGTTTGCTGCTTTCCCCCGAGCTAAAAACGGGGCAGAAAACACCACAAACTACAGTCAACTCTGAAAATGGTAAGTTAAATAGGATCTTTTTCGAAGACTATGCTTTAACTGGAATGCTTATTTCAATGAGATTTGAAAGGGGGTCTCCGTTTCTTCTTTTTCTGGGATTGTGTGTTTCAATTGTCTAATAGAATTGAAGTGGAAGTTGATAAGGAAGCTATTCTAGTAGGATTTCTAGTTTAAAGAGCATGTAAAAGGGTGTCCCTTTCAAAGAAGAATTGTAATTACACAGTTTTTTTTTGAATTAGTTGAACACATGTTCTATGTTTGTTTGTTTAAATACAATTTAGTAGAATGTCTAGTTTTAACAAGAATATAATTAAACGCTTAAAAGAAGGTTTCATTTCAAGTTGTGACATTTGTGTTTAAAGGGGGTCTCTTTTTCTAGGAATGTGGTTTTTCTCATCTCTCTGAGTTGGAGCTTAAATAGAAATTAAAAGTGAAAACTCCTAATTCCATGGCTAGGTTTAAAAAATGATGCAAATAGGATTTCATTGTCAAAGAATATATTTAATTGGGATTCGTATTTCAATTCAAATTTCAAAAAGGACTTCCTTTCCCAGGATGGTGTTCCATTTTCATATTGGAGTTCAATTAGAAGGTAAAAAGGAAATAATTATATTATAATGTCTAACTTGAAAGATAATCTAAATAGGAATTATGTCTAAGAAAAGCATATTTGGACTGTTTTTTTCAAACTAGATTGAAGAGGATGTCCTTGCGTAGGAAATCACAAGAACCAAAAAAGCGCGAAAACAAATTGCTACTGTGCTGTTGCTAGGTTCTGCCAGGCACACTCAAAGGCTTCAACACCAAAAAACAGGGACATTTCGGGGGTGGGTGGGGGGGGGGGGTTAGCATACATATATATATATATATATATGGCCAAAACAAACGATGAGGTAATGCACATATTGTGTCGTGGGCCCCTTGATCATGCCGGTTGCAGAGAGAAAATGCACTGAAGCGCTTCATGCAGGTCAAACAGTGGGCATAGCGAGATCACCTTGCAAACAGCTTCCCCTTCAAAACACAAACCTGTCGACAGCTTGCGTGTAAGATCGAGGGATGATCAGTCTTTCCGTCCTTCCACACGGGCGCCCCAGTGAAAGAAGCGCGTTTCAATTGGCTCACTGTGAAAACAAACACCCAACGACAGCACACAAATTAGAAAAGAATCAAACGACTCCAAAACCTGCATAAAGGGCCCATCCACAAAAGAAGCCTTGACCATCTTGCTTTTGGAAATCAACGGCAATCATTATTTGGAACCTTGAATAAGATGGAGCCAAAACTGGAAAAAGACCCAAAGAATAAAAACCTCCGGCGCCGCTGTGGCTTCGCTTCTTGATAGGTCTGTTCAATAAAATTGTGCGGGGTGCCACCCAAAAAAATGCGAAGGGTGGCCGCAAGGAAAGCCATCTTCGAGGTGATCTGATTTGGCTGTGGGTCAAAACCCCTGGTACCCCTGGTGAACATCAAAATAGGTGACAAATGGATGTTCATCCACCCCCAAAATGGAGCCATAGGTTATGCCCCATGGCCATTTGGGGGCGCATTCTTCAGTGTTTCTGTGAGCCGTGCAGTTTTCTTGTAACATGCTGTGGACGGAATCCGTTCGCGCCACTTTGAAACCATGGGAAACCCTTGTTTATTGGCATTTACAGGGGAATCATCAGAAACCAGCGTTTCTTCGGCGCGATCGCAGTTCGTCCATCCATATCTCAAACATCATCCCAGATGCCCGAGCGCCTCCCAAAGAGCGGGCAGGGGGGCGTCTCCCACGGAGTCATCTGGTTTGATAGGCGGAGACCTGAGGGCAACACCAAACCAATCTCAACCCAATTTGGGTGTTGTCCCTCTGTCCCCCACAAAAAATTGCCCCAGCTACTTTTTGCCTTCTGTCAGCAAAAAGATGAGCTCTTGGATCTTTGGAAACCTTAGGTGAGGACTCCAAGGTCAGAAAGCCTCTTCATTGAAGTGTTCAGCCACAGGAAGCTGTGGAAGCGGGCGATGAGGCCCTTTCGTGGATCCGTTTTGATTTTGATCGACTCGTTCATGGGCGAAAAAGCTGGCAAAAGGTCGACCAAAGCTGGGCCCCTACATGATTCATACTTGGTGGCAACCCCGCTGCTAAATCCCCTGACCGTGGCACGGGTCACCAGCCATTGAGCTATGGGATGCCGTCAAATGGGATGCCGTCAGCCCGCTCCCCTGCAAAGCTCTGGGTGCCAAATTCTCGGCTCCCACAATGGAGGTGTCCCCTACAGCTTGACGAACGAACCAAACTCGGGGGGAAAAAAGAGACACGCCGAATAGGGTTTGTGGAAAACTTGAGAGTGGGCTTCGTTTCAGCTCGATTGAGGGGGACCCAGCAACACAGGCGACCTGAACCTGGGAAGAGCCTTTGGCGCGTGATAGCAGAAGCCATACCAACCCTCAAAAACTGTGTTCCTTTGCTCTATTCCTGTTTTCGGAAGGGAACATCAAGGTGGACCCAAACGCGTAGAGAACCCCTCCTGAAATCTGAAAGTTGTTGTGTTATACCTGGGAGTACAGGACAATTTGAAAACTACATTTGTCGGTCTATTCTGCAAAAAAACAAAGTTCCTGTGCAATAGGGTGGAATAGGCAAGTCTCAGGTGCTTCTGGATGATTCTCCCACCCTGAAGCAACGCAAGTGCTAAGCGCAAAAAGGGACAATGCATGACTGGAATCGGGCCGCATCTTTTAAGGCAACAAATAACGAATTGCTTGCCCTACTTTCAGTCTCCAGTACAACGCAAACATGTATCCTAACTCTGGATGCCTTTTTTCAATCCACCCCAAAGCTCATTTTCTGAATGCTTTGGCTCAAGCAAGTTCATCTTTCCCACTAAAATGATGTTCCTCCACCATGCACTGCCTGCCTGCCTGCCTGCCTGCCTGCCTGCCTGCCTGCCTGCCTGCCTGCCTGCCTGCCTGCCTGCCTGCCTGCCTGCCTGCCTGCCTGCCTGCCTGCCTGCCTGCCTGCCTGCCTGCCTGCCTGCCTGCCTGCCTGCCTGCCTGCCTGCCTGCCTGCCTGCCTGCCTGCCTGCCTGCCTGCCTGCCTGCCTGCCTGCCTGCCTGCCTGCCTGCCTGCCTGCCTGCCTGCCTGCCTGCCTGCCTGCCTGCCTGCCTGCCTGCCTGCCTGCCTGCCTGCCTGCCTGCCTGCCTGCCTGCCTGCCTGCCTGCCTGCCTGCCTGCCTGCCTGCCTGCCTGCCTGCCTGCCTGCCTGCCTGCCACAACATAACTACATGTGGGTGGGTGTGCGTGCGCGTGCCATCGAACAGGGGGTCCTTGCGTTCCCGCAAACGGCCACACGCACCCATGTTTTTTGCGAGACATGGTGACATGAGATCATCTCGGTCGCACCCGGGAGACTTTGATCCCAGTTGCAACTTGGCAATGGAGAAGAAGGCGGCTTGCACAGGCGGCATGGGTTCAACGGAAGTCGCCGAAACTTGGGCGCCGTTCCAGCTGAGCCCCGAAATCTGCCAGAACCGGCGATTGCAACGAGCGGAGCCTCCCTGAATGACCCTGCGCGGAAGTAAACCAAACCGGCAGCTGGCTCTTTCACCTTTCTGGCCCTGACAGCCCCAAAGGTTTCAACTCAAACACCTTGCTGGTCACCTTTTGCAACCTGCCCATCGGCCGACAGAAATTCCGATGTCCTTGATTTGTTCATGGCAACGCAAACAATCGTTGGCAACTGGAATGTCTGTAACTCCCGAAGCTGCGCACACGGGCGAAAGGGCTGAGCTTGTTCAAACAAAACTGCAACCAACCCTGACAAGTGGGCGGGCGCCTGTGCTTCGCAGCTGCGTCGTCATGGCCCATGTGGCTGAACTTCGGCTCTGCCTTGCGCCTTTTCAAACCGACTCGGCTGCTATAGTACCGATGTCCTGTTCGTGTCGCCTGGGCTTGGTTTAAACTGCTGTAAAACATCACGGCAGCAATCAAATATGATGTGAGGTCCGTTCACCCCACGACAAAGGGTAAATACCAAAAGCCGCCCGCATATGGTTGGGGTTGGGACCATTCCAATCATAGACAGTCCCTAGATGGACCTCATACTGTGGATGGACAAATCCTGCACAACCTATGAAACCTTGGGAATGATGATTCTCTTTTAAATACCAACAAACAATGGTTCCCACGGAGGGCTGGTGGCAAAGCTCAGCGTAACATCGCTGGACATGATGGACGCAAGGCAGTGGCAAACTTGCTTATGCTGTGACAGACGCACCAAGTGTCGTGATGATCTGATCTGCATTCAGAAATCCTACGACCCCTAAGTGGTAGCAGCTTCCAAACTACAAAGCCAACACACCGACTCGGGGCGAAGCTGGCTTGACAATGTGGCATCAAAATTCGACTTATTGCTGCTCACAACACTTGCCCTTGCTTTGTTCGGCTGTGGGCAGTCTGTGGGTCTGATTTCACCAAGGAGGAATTGAGTCCCGCCAGGCACTCAGCTCAAGGCACTATGTCGAGCGAATGGCAGCTCTTTTCCTGTGGCAATTAGAGCCTCCGTTGCGGTACATGCACATCATGCTTTGCATGCGGATATGACTAAGCACAAGAACAATCGTCACGCTGCCTTCATATCCGCTGCATTTGAGACACTTGTTCACCTGTCTCCCACCCTTGTAGTGGGGAGTCGATCAAGATCGCCTTCAGGGCCTGACGCCACCAACCCGCTGGCGCCGGCCACTCCGAGCCCCGCCTGTTTCATCCAGAGGATCGCTGCGACGACATCAACTACTACGGCCGCACCGTGGCGAAGGGCCGCGAGCACAACCAGAGCAAGTCCGCGGAGGGCTTCGACGAGGCGAACGACCCCACCATGGTGGGCATCCTGCGCTGCGGGAAGATGCAGCCCCCGCAGCTGAACCTGGTGCTTGAGTTAGAGTTTGCCGGCAGGAGCCAACCGACTTTGAGATTCAGAACGTCCAAGTTCTGGCCTCCCAGGTGGACTCGGCTCTGGTTGAGTCCTTGAACCGGGCGCTGCTGTCCGGGCGCTCCCTCGTGTTCAGCTACCCCACAGTGCACACGCAGCAGTCCACCGTGCCGACGGGCGTCGCCGTTGCGCACGGCTTCACGAAATTGATGGGAGCGTTCGTGACCTTCTGGGACAACGACGCGGGCTGGCCATCGACCTATGATCTGCGGAGGCGGCTGCGGCTGCGGGCCCAGCCGGGGCATCACGTTCAAGCGCACGTGCTTGGCTGCGTCCTGGGGGAGCTGCAAGCGGAAGCCCTGCACGGCTGCGAGCCCTGCTGCTCCTGCCCCTGCTGCTGCCTGCGCGCCGCCGGCCGTGCTGCGCAGACGGTCCGTGATGGAGGGCAGGCGCTGGCCGTTGCTTGCCAGGTCGTCCTCGACGAAGCGGTTTCCCCCGTAGCCCCGGTAGATCCGGGCCAGTCGCACGCCCTCGTCCTCTGCGCCAGTGCGGAAGCCGTCCTCGGGAGTCGCCTGCAGCGGCCTGCAGAGGCTGCGGGTTGGGGTCCTTGCTACTGCGCGAAGTCGTCCAGGTAGAAGTGGCTTGTGACAAACGAAGGTCAAGCGATGCGCATGAGGGCAAGCTGGGCCAAGGTTTCAAAGCAAGCTATATAGCGTTGGGCCTCTTTGGTCAGGCATGGCCACTGCTGTTGGACATCGTGGAAGTCCCAGGTTTCTGCAAACCAGGAGACGGACCGGCTCCCCCACTGTGGTGTTTTCGGCACATGTGTCTGCTGCTGCTGTGCATGCCAGGATCGGCTTGCTTTGCAACAGGCATGCCAAATCTGCTTGAAAACATTGCAGAAGCCATTCGATATTGGCTCTGCTTGTTTTGGACAAACGTGTGTGTTCGGCAGCGGGGTCTGCCACGCGCCCACGCTGCTTTGTGGCTGGGCGCTACACTAGGCAAGTCCGATGGGCTGCGCACGGGGGTTTGTTGGTATTCTAATACCTGGAACCCAGTGGCATGAAAATGCCGTGCGCGAGGCCAATATGGCCTTTGCGTTTAGTGCTGAGAGGAAAGCAGGCCACAGGCGTGCATTCACGGAGATCATGCAGCCCGGTGGCGAACGCAGATCTGCATACAAAGGCGCAAGCCAAGACCTCAATTCTTGGCCCAAATGAGCAGCCCCAGCACTTGCTCCAAAAACTTTCTTTTGACTCTTTTTGATCGGAGCAGCTCCTTCAGTTTCAGAGTTTTAAGCGGTGTGAGTTCGATGGTTTTCAGGAGGAAATTAATCGACCATCCGCACCAAGTCAAGCAGTTCTTGAATTGCACTTTTTTCCAGGAAATTGGCGCACTGACGGCTGCAAAGAAAATGACTATGAGAGCAAGTTGTTGGCGCTCGTCCGGGCGGTGCAAAGCGGCTAACCGCGAACAACCAAGCTTTGTGCGGGTGTGCTGATAGCACCCCGTGTAGCAGCCTGAGTAAGAATGCTCCAGTGCGTTGCCACCAGTATGCGGAGAACCGGGCTCCGAAGTGGCACACTCGGTAATGGTTGAGTGTCTGCAAAACGGAACTGTTTGCACCTGAATTTTCCTAACTTTTCCTTGCGAACCGAAAAAGCGCCTCATCGGTAACACATGGTCTGTTGCCAAGCGTTCCAACTGCAAACTTACAAAAGGTTCATCCTGATGTTTCACATCATGCACACACACGAGTTTGAGTGGGTGCTCCAAACGTAAACCTTTATCACCCCGCCTTTGCCATGTGGCTTTGCCATGTGGCAATCTTTCAAAGTGGCTTTTGGGGAAAACATGCTCGCCTTTCAGTCTATACAGCTCAAGACGCTACGCACTTGTGAAAATCCCTGGCCCTTTCATCAAGCCAATATGGGAAAATTCTGGAACTCATCTCCCAATGCAAATTCATCCATCTGCCATGCACATAGGAATGAATATCAACTGCACTCACTTCCTGAACCATCTGAAGTCAACGTCTCACCAGTCAACGGATTTATACCTTCTTCCCTCAGTTGATCTGCCCACGTTGCGTCGTCCAGATAGCTGCTGCTCCGGCTCATTTCTTCAGAATCTCGTCTTGCAAACTCAGCATCGCTGATCTCCTTGCTCTGCTGTCGCTCCACCGCTCTCTCAATGATCACGAATCGTCCAATCCATTCCTGAATTTGTCCTTTCACAACATCCAGTTCATGCCATATCCAACTCATTTGTCGAGTCTCGCGGTCGTCCTCTCGCAAAGCTTGCATCTGCGAAATCATATCTTCCACACTGTAATGTCCAGTCTGCTCTGAAAATCGTCCCCATCTGCAATCTCCAGCAGCAGAGAAATTGCATGTTGACCCGCACGGCTGCGGATAAGCCTTAGCTTCTGGAAGCTTACCCGTGCTGATTTGCATGCTTGGATAAAGAGCGTGTCAAGCTGCGGGCTATCGGCGTAGTCGCCCAGAACCAGCATTTGGTACAGTTTCTTCATCTCCAACTTCTCTTGCGCTGCCTCTGGATAATGCTCTGCAGCGCCGCCTTGTTCCACTTGTCGTAGTAGGCGAATCATGCTGATCAGCGCCCGTTGCCCAATTTAAAAGGGCCAAGAAAGATGCCAGCGCACGGCGCCTGGGGCACCACAGGGCTGCTTACTGGTGTACTCTGTCGTAGGAAAAGCTTAATCTTTCCATTTGTTCTTTTGCGTTACTTTCCAAATTCAAAGCCGGAAAGCCGAGCGGCAAGTCCGGAAGAGATGCCGCCAGTACTGCGTTGCAGCTAAGTTTTCCGGGCAACGTGTTACCCTGAAACTAAAGGCCGGCATGCGTTGAAGACTTTGGTAGCAAGACGTGGCTTGCTCCGCACCTGGACCGACTGCTAACGTTGTGGCGCTGCACTCACCCTCGGCTACCGACAAGTGTGACCGGAAGTCGCCTTGCCGTCAATCCTGTTGCCAGCACAGGATTGCTCCACTCAATTCTGCGCCGGGCACAGGATTGCTCCACTCAATTCTGGCAAACAACAGGCTTGCCCCGACGCAACACCTCAAGCTTGGAGCTTGCCCAAGCTTAGGCTTGTGATGGAGTCGGCCCTGTAGAGCTCTTGTTAATGCTCAGGACAAAGGGCAGAGGTCGTGCCCCCGCTCCTGTTGTCGGGGCGCTTAAAGCATATTGCTGACGGACCTTTGGCGAGGCCCGCACCAGGCCCGCACCAGGTCCGCACCAGGCCCGCACCAGAACCGCAGCAGGTCCGCGCCAGGCCCGCACCAGGCTTGCGCCACAGGCCCGCACCAGGCCCGCGCCAGGCCCGCACTAGGCCCGCGCCGGAGCGAAGTCGGAATTCCGACCTTGGGAGAGCGAAGTCGGAATTCCGACCTTGGTGGAAAGAATTCCGGCCTCACTTTTAGACCGAAGCCGCGGAGCCGGCCTTGCTTTTAGACCGAAGCCGAGGATTACGAAAGCTTGTGCCACGGGGCGGACACCTCGGGGGTTAAAAGCGCCCCGGCGACAAGCAAGCGGTGACATCCAGCAGCTCCCTTGTCTCAGCGGTTA